TTTAAGTAAGAGTCAAGAGGGAATGCCATCGGTTTATGGAAACAAAGTTTCTTGCAAAGGAAAAAATGAAGTATCTCTCCCCCTGCCCACTTCCTTCACCAAGAGTCTCTTTTTGTAGGGCTGGTCTACATGTTGAAGGCTTTTCAAGTAGCCTGTACAAAACTCTCCAGATGTAGTCTTTCTCCCAGTTTAAAGATGCATCTACAGATGTGTTCTGCCATCACAACTGTGCTAAACTGTTGCAGTTTTCTTAGTTTCAATCAGCATAGTTTATTAACCTGCTAAACTACAAAGTTTATAGTACAGATGTAGTCCCCAATTATGTTGTGTTTAACAGGTAATTGTTGATAAAATAGTCTGTTTCTCTCCTTTTTGTTCACAAAAAAGGCTACAGTACACAGTGCCTCTCTTATGAAAAAACATGTTACAGCATCAGACATCACAGCTGAACATTAAAACTAACCAACACCATGTCAGGTTTACTAGTACCATTAATATGTTTTACTCCTTTTTAATTACGAATTTTTAAAAAAATTCAAAAGTTTCAAAACTGAAGGAGCAATGCTACTTTGAACTTCAAGAGCAGATCAATGCTATTTCTGTGACAAAAGTTTGGAATCTCTTCTAAAGAAGGTAATATAGATCTCTGTCAGATGACGGTGAGCAAAGCAATTAAGCAACACCAATCTTTAGTCAAAATTGCACTGAAAGTATATCCTGTGTACAACAAAGCAGCTCAAAATGTTTGGGTTTTTTTTAATGGAGAGCATGCACTGAAGAAGGGATAGTCTTTCACTGATATCAGTATTAAGGCTACATTCAGCAGAAAGGTAAAAGATACTAAGCAACCACAGAAAAGACTCTGGGTTTATTTTGGTGATAAACTGAGCACTGTAACATAGCAGTAGCTAATTTTTTTCAGCTTTCTTCCCTAGGACTTAACTGGATTTTGAAGCACTTGACTGACCAGAAGGCAGCACCCTGAGAAGTTTTGCTGTGCAACCACATAAGCCTATAGCTGTTCATTAATCCATAATAAATTCACTATTGTTTATAAGCTTCAGCTTCCGCTTTTTGTACTTTAAGCACTCTGAGGCGATCAGAGACACTGGGCTGCTGCCCTTTGTGGTACGATTAGAACTTACCTTTCCCCCACTTTCCAAGAGACCGCAAGTAAGGGGAGGACCAGCAAGGAATGAAGCAGATCTCAACTAAATCGTCTGTCGGTTAAGTACGACACAAGCTTGAAGGGTAGGGATGTAAACACAAGCAACTGTTACTGCTGCCTAATGTAACACACTTGCACTTGAAGGTTAAGTTCTCAGCAATACAAAGTTAAAACACAGGGGGTGTTTCTCACACCAAAACATGAAGCAAGCAGAACCAATAGCAAAATACATCCAAGAAGTGCATGGAAAGAGCATGGAAAGCTGTAAATGCAAACCAGCGTGTTACCAAAGCAGTTAGCAATAAGAAAGATCACAGTACTGTTATTAGTGGTGACAGTTATTCTGGAAAGAGTGACAGCACCAAGAAGCAGAGCAATACAGTTTGGTCTCCAGAGGCATCGACATCAACACAAACTGATGGATCACTGGGAGTGACCCGTTTTCCTACTGTTACTGCAGGTTTTTCTGCAGCCCTTCCCTTCTCACACAAGACCCCTGAACAGCTGAAGTTTTCACTGAAAGAAAGGCTGAGCAAATGGTATTACCCAAACTTCTGCCCTGGGAGACGAATGTCCTCAGTTTCTTTCCCAAACAGCAAGAAGGATGTTTCCATTTAGACACATAGTTGCCAACAGCAGCCATAACTTGGACAGAATAAGAAAGGGTCCCACTCAGGCCTTCTACCCCTTCCCCTTTCAAAATATCAAAGCTTTCCCTTCCTGCCATAACCCACGCCCCCCACAAATTCACACAAACTCCCAAAGTTTTAAAGGAGTAAACATTAAGAGCATCAGTGGGAAAATACTGGGTTTGGTCAAGCAAAAAATACCAGGAAATACCTGAGAACAAGTAAGTAATGCACAAATGACTTCAGGATCCATTCCCACTACAATGGGGAAAACGGGCAAGTCTTTTTCCACACATGGACAGATCCACCCACCCCGGGTAAAAACAGTACAGAACAAATGCCAATTTTTTCATAGCAACTTCAAAAAGCCCCAAGTATTTTTAATAAGAAAACCAGCATTTTAACATATTGAGGGTTTGGCTAAACTAAACCTTGATTCTTTTCCACTTTACAACATAATTCACACAAAATAAGTACAACTGCATAAATGAGGCATTTTGAATCATCCAAATGTCTTTTGTAAGCCCCGGATTTGACTTTTTTTGTGATTACAGTGGCGTTTTGACACTTCAGCTTTTACTTTTACAGAGCAAATATAACAGACCACCTGTGCTTTGTGATTGTTATGAAACAAATCAAAGCAAGCTTGTCATCTGTATTTTCATTAAGAACGTGTAATAAATAGAGCAAAGCCCTCTGACTTACAAGTGTTGCAGTACATGGCACATAGACCCCTTCACATGTCCCAAATACTGCATTTCCACTGCTCAGCCTGCTGGAGGAAAACCCAGCCATCAGCATACACCTCACAGATAGCATTCGTTCCATCAGACTGAGGGGTCAAACTTACAGCAAAACATAACTGGTATTGACATGGCTCAGGAGTCGACCACATCAAATTTGAAGATAAGTAACAAGTGCCGTACTTTCACCAGCAAACAGTTCGGTTGCAGACAAAAGGCAGCACACACACACACACACGAGGGATCTTTCTAATACACCACATCTAGCAACTGCGACAGTTTATTTTGTATTCTAAACACATCACATTAGAAAAGGAGCCAGCCTAGATGGTAAATTCAGGAACTGGACCGAACTACTGTGAAGAAGAAACCAACAGCAGTCAGTTATCACCGCAATACTGGTTTTGCTGAAGCATAAAGCTACTGCTCCTGCGATTTTAAAGCTTAATTATTGAAAGTTCACTTGAGTGCAGGTCGCCAGCACAATTCATGCAAGAAGTAACCGAGTTTATCTTGCTCGGGATACTGGCAGCGTATCAGGTCACTCCCATCGACTGCATCTCCCTCTCCCGCACTGAGGTTTTCAGATCTAAAACCAGCAGCAAAGCGCTTTCTACCGTCTGTGTCCGTGTAATTAGCACTATTAATCCCAGGCTATCCAGGCCCCCTGGCGTGGCTCTGATTTGGCTTTAATCTCCGCCGAGGTCTCTCCTTCCTGTCCACGGAAAGCCATTTAAACCTTGGCAAGCCGTTCGGTTTAAAGTGATGTTCTGTTGCAGAGGGATGAGCCCCACGCCGCACTGGTGGGAAGCACGGAGACCCGCAACGCCTGCCCTTCCCGCACCCCCCAAAAAAGGGACGGAAAGTTACTTTTCCAGCGAGCGACCGCTCGGGACGAGGCAAGGGCCCCTCTGCACCTCCTCGGGCACCCCGAGAGCGCAGCTCCGTGCGGTCCAGCCGCCGCTCCCCCCGCCCCGCCACCGGACGCGCACAC